TTCTCATGAATAAATAAAAATTTTCTGTTAAATTATTTTTAACTTAAAAAAATGAGTAGCTTTCAAAGAAGAAAAAAGTAAAAAAAAAGAAAAATCCAAGATTTTCATCAAAGACATCTTTTTTTTTCTTTTCAATTTCACGAAAGCTATCAATAAATTGTGTAGCGCAATATATTAAATACATTTGGAAGAAGAAAGGTACTACTTTCTGCTGATGAAGTCTCCGTACTTTCAGAGAATCTCGTCTATTGAAGAATACAGATTAGAAAGACGCGAGGTTAATACAAGAACAAAGAAAATTAGAAAAACGTTCCGAAAAAAGAAGGAAAGATTTATGAAAAAAAAATATGTTTCGAGCAATCTTGAATTCCACTTTTTTTTAGGAAAATTTTAAGAAAATTTTGTTGTTGTTGTTGTTTCTAATGCCTACTGTCTGACGTAGTCAGATCGACACCCATGAAATTCATCGAAGCAAGGGGCCGCATGTACGCCTTTCGCTGGCCTTGAGAACCATACAGATAACAGAACGAAAGAGATTGGTGAAATTCCCGAAGAGACGATAGATGGTGACACCACCTATCTCCACCTCCACAATTTAGGCATGGAACTGAAGGAGAGGGAAGTATTCTCCAGTCCCCTGCACTCGTGATTCAGCCCACAAGACTTCAAACCCATTGATTTAACGAGCACGTACTCCGCGTGTACTCGGAGAGTATTTAGTGGCAACGGGCATCGAACCCAGGTCTTACGGTCTGGAGTCCGATGCTCTAACCACTATGCTACCCACGGCCCTCAGAAAATGTATTTTTTTTTGTATTCAATACATTACGTTAAATTATCTTCAAATTTAAACAACGTTTTAATATTTTTTTTATATTTCATTGATATATTCCTTTATAAGGCCATGGTAAGTATAAATACCGAACTGAACTCAGTGGCGTAACAGCCCATGAGGGCCAAGGGCTACTCTGCTTGTATCAGTTTACGTGACCTTAGATACTGGGATGCATGTGCAGATATTTGGGTCAAGTGGTTAATCTCACGTGAAACTCCAATTGAAACGAAAACAGTGTTCAATTTGCAAGCAGGCTTGATACTCATTTATATAACTACAGAAGAGATGAAAGGCTGAGTCGACTTTGCCGATCCCGGTATTTGAACCCTGGACCTGTGGCGTGTAAGTGCGATACACTACCACTCAGCCACTGGGCTTCAAGTATGCATACTAACAGGTTGATTATTAAACATTCTACTTAATTATTAAACTAAGCTATTTTTTTCACCTACGATTTATGGCGCAAGAACTTCGGCTAACAAGACAACTGATTTCTGAATTTTCAAGTATCTAACGACAAGGAGGGCGAGGAAATGTCCTGTGAGTAGTAAGAAAACTGTTCCGATGACATACGAGTGACTAAAGTTGATAACCATGTAGAAACTTTACAAAAAACATATAGACTTTGCCGCTTGTACTTCACTAAAGTATATGAGAATAAGATACATTTGCGTAGCTTTTAATGTTCTACTGAGTATTGATCCATGTTTTTGGAAGCTTCATGGAAAGTAACCCAATCGGACCCCGATTTAATGAATTCTTCGAGACCGAACATATTGTTCGTTAAATCGGGTTATTCGTTATATCGCGGATCAAACAAAGTACAATTTTTTTTTTTTTGCTTTTACCTTTTGAAAAATCTACAATAAGAAACTACATAAAAGTATTATAGTTAGAAATTTTACACATTTTATTCAATAGATAAAAATACTATTAGTGGATTATTACACGCCAGATAGCTGGAAGTTTCAAAATATTGACTGATAGATGTTTTTTTTTTATTGAAAACAATTATAAAATCCCCGTGCACCACAAAGTATCACACGGGGCTTACAGAAGTAAGTATTAAACACACATTCAAGGGAAATAAACAATTAAAAAAAAGAAGTTAAGAAGGATTACAAACAGTTACAACAAATTTACAGAAATTATTGAAAGCACTTCTGGTGGAAAGAAATTGGTGAAAATTCGGTGGCCAATTAATGTTGAGTCTCTTGAACGCCAGTCTTATGATCTTTCTCTCTCTGACATACTTGGAACACAGAAGGATCACATGTTCTACATTTTCCTCGCCACCAATATTACAGTCACAGAAAGATGAAGGAGCTAAATTAAATTTGTTCAGGTAGCTTTTGAAATTACCGTGACCAGTGAGAAATTGGGTTAATTTGTAGTTAGTGTAAAAATGATGACATGATAGTCTCTTTTGAAAATCTTTTTGATTCCTGAGTTCTTTTTTCAATTTTATGCAGAGAAGAAAATACTGTTACGCTGATCGGGGGTTCGAGGATTTTATGACAATCCATCACAAAAGAACAAGACAGGGCTTTAAGAGCGATGAGAATTTATTGTAGAAAATCCAATCCTTTAAATACAGGATTCCGCAGCAATATTCACAAAATAAATCTCAGAAAATCTTCACACCTTCAACAGCACGCAAATAAAATTATTGGTGTCTAAAATTCAAGTTTATAAAAGATTATTCACAAGCAATCGCTCGTCCAACAGCCAAAGTGTAATAACTCTACTATTCGCTTCAACTATCAGAGCAATACTAACTGATCACTAGTCAAAACCAGACTGACTCACTTCGCCGAGCTCTTTCTCTATTTACATCCCTCGCGGATAATTCGAGAAAAACACACTTGAGTCATAGGTCTTGAAATTAGTGTATTTCTCTACTAATTTCTAGAAGAATCCAGAGGGTTCCGAACTCGCCAAAAATGATCGCCAAGTTGCCAACTTGGTCGCCAAAAATGACGGGAACTTGTCTCTATCGCCAAGATTTCGCCGTTCCCATTGAGTCATCCTTATAACGTAAGGGACGGCGTTTGCTTGTGAATATTACAATTTTGACGTAAATAAAATCTAATTTAGAGTAAGACAAAGACATTACACATCTAAATACAAATTATTTTCACTATTTGACACAAAATTCCTTGCAATACTGTTTCATTTACATCCTGCTGCGTAAGGTGTGTTTTGACAGTTTCAAAACAATGCAGAGTTTTAGAAAATGTAACACATTTCATAAAAGATTTATTATTAATTTCTACACCAGAAGCACTACTTGTTGACTCCAACAAATCGATAATTTCTTGAACTTCGGTTGCACAGATAGGTGGGCCGAAATCTAATGCAACACATAATCATTTAAATCTTATAATATCCCCTTCATTATGGAGTGGGATAACATAAGAAAGGAGTTTCCTGTCCTGTTCAAAACTCGCCCGATAAGTTACACTCATGACTTATCTGCTCCTGTTAAGTCTAATAATTATCTGCACCCTTGACAGCCCGAAATGGTTGCTTACCAAAAAAATCTTTTTTCTGTTCCGGACAAAAAGGGTGTCTTTTTTATAAAAAAAGCTAATTTTTTCTAAAGAAACTGAAAGAAAAAACTTTAACTGTTGAAATAATTCGCCATTTCGGAGTTTATTATTCGATAAGTTGGGGTTCGTTAAACCGAAGGCCGATTGTATGTATACATTTTTAAATTTTTGAATACGAAATATATCTTATTTGTAATTTTTTCAGTATATTTCATTATTTTCAAATTATTTTTTAAAATAAACTATCATGCAGTTCAACATAAAAAAAATTCAAAACTTAAAAAAATCCTGCCTTTAATTAACTCCTCGTGGATAAGCCAACTTCGCACCGAAAAATAAAGTAGTCTTAAAATTCAAATTAAGTTGAGTAATAAGCTGAAAGAATTGACATGTTTTTATATAATTTTTTGAAAGAAAGTTTTATTACAATTTTTTTCCACTTCAAATACTTTGAGCTTCAATTGAATGTATTAAAATTCCAACAAAATAAATTAAAAAATAAAGAAAGTAAATATCTTCGTTTCTTTGTTATAATGAAATTAACCTAATTAACATAATGCAACAAATATGGTTATCGACACCTAATTCTTAATCTAAATTATTTTTTTTTATTTCGAATGTTTGTTTTTACCAATACTGATCAAATAAATGAAATTAATTTTATATGTTTTTTAAAATATTGATAGCAAAGATTCCTATAATAGTAATAATGCAAACGATTTTATTGCTAAAGCTCCATATTTCCAAAACTATAAAATGCATGCTAGTAACATGAACATATTTCACATTTTCTTGAAATTCTATTTCTTAAAACAAATATAAACTTTCTTCAGTTTATTTTCACAAAGTTAAAAATACGTCAGGTATACCTGAAATTCAGTTTCAAGCCCAGAAGGAGAGCTAAGAAAAAGAAAGTAGTCAAATGATTTGGTTGCTTTTCGCATAAAAAAGAGAAGACACATTATAAAAGCTAAAATAATCTTACAAATTTCTGTTTTGGGCTTTCGAATGTTGTAAAACTTCTACGGAAATTATATTTTCAAGGCAATCATGTATTTATTTTTAATAGTTTAGACTAAACGGAATGTAATAAAGTATGAAAAAAATTAGAATCTCAAAGTTTCGAATATATAACACCTTTTTGTTTTTATGACATATTTGTCTTTAAAATAAAAGTGCCAGTTTTAATGTTAGTTCGCTAGGAAGAATTCTTCAGAGTATTGATTTGTTTTTGTAATAAATTATTCTGTGATATTCAAATGAGTATTCTACTTTTATCATTTTTCAATTCCTACCATTAATTCATTCTCTCACTCCCTATATATATATATATATATATATATATATATATATATATATATATATATATATATATATATATATATATATATATATATATATATCTTGTTAAAATTTTTCAATCGTTAATAAAATACATTCTATTCGTCCATCAAAGTTCAAACACATTTTTTTAAACTTGTAGTGTTTGACATTTGATGTTAATATAGTTTTTTCAAATATTAATCCATCAATTAAATTAAAAAATGAATAAACAGAAAATCAACAAAAATAATAGTCCAGCAGCAAATATAGAAAGTAAAATCGTTCGTTGGGTCTCTGTAGCGCAATGGATAGCGTGTTGGACTTCTAATCGAAAGACCATGGGTTCGAATCCCATCTGGAGTGGTCTTATTTCTGAGAACGAGTATTCTTTTCTACTGTACTATTTCTTGGAATAATTAAGTTTAATTAATGAATAAATAATAACACAAACAAAAATTAGTCCAACAACCCATACAGAAAGGAAAATGAAAAATTACAAAGAAAATATATTTCTATTTTGTCGTTTAATACAATGATTCTTTAATAAGTATACACATATTTACATTAATTGTAACTATTTACTGAAACGTAACTAAAATAAAATATTTCTTTGTTGACCCAAGTAGGAATTCACTTTTTTTTCTTATATAAATTTGCTACATATTTTTTTAAAAAAAGAAATAGTTTCATTACAATGTTTTTTACTTAAAATGTTTTTACTATATATTCCAATTGGATCTATTAAAATTACCACAACATAAATTTAAAAAATAAATAAAGAAAATAAAATATCTTTATTTCGTTGTTATAATGAAATTAACCAAATTTTTTAACACAATGCTTCAAATATGATTATAAACACATCATTCCTAACTTGATTTTTTTTTATTTCAATTTTTTTGTTTTTACCAACATTGATCAAATAAATTAAACTAATTTTAAATGTTGCTTAATATATTGATAGCAAAGACTTCTTAAATGGTAAAATAGCTAACGATTTTGTTTTACTATAGTTCAATATTTCCAAAACTGAATAAATACACGGTAGATACACGAATATATTCGTATTATGAATGCATTTAGGTTAATTTAATTTTTTTTCGTAAAAATTTTTTCTTCAGTTTATCTTCACAAAACTAAAAATGTGTCAGGTATGCCTGAAATTCAGTTTTGTGACCAGAAGGAGAACAAAGAAAAGAAAAGTAGTCGAATGATTTGGATGCTTTTCGCATAAAAGAGAAGACACATTAGAAAAAGCTAAACTAGTCTTACAAATTTCTATTTTTGAGCCTTCGAACGTTGTAAAACTTCTCTGGAAACTTGGTTTTCAAGGCAACCATGTATTCATTTCGAATAGATAATAAGAATAAACAGAATCCTTACTAATATTATAAATGCGAAAGTTTGTATGTATAATTGTTACTTTTTCACAGAAAACAACTGAATGGATTTTAATGAAACTGTACAATAATATAGCTTATAAATCAAAATAACACATAGGCGTTAATTTATAAAGATACTGCTGTACCCTGCCACGCGTTGCTGTGGCTCAGTACGATTAAAAAAAGAATGAGAAAGCACACATTTCAAATGTTTTTAACCATTTGCAATTAAGTACGATTCTTTGCATTTGCACTTAAAGAATGATTCTTTTTTCTAAAAAATATGTATAAATATGCATACACAAAACTTTTCTAAACAGATTTTAGCTGTTTATGGAATACATGATTTATTGCAGTTTGTTTTTGTCCTTATATTATGAACCGAAAATTATTTATAATGTCTCCATTGGAGGCTTAAACACATTAAATTGTTTTTTTTCGATGAAGAAGCTTTCGCATTTCAGAAAAAAAGGACCTTTTTACGTCAGTAGAAATTCCACAAAATCCCTTTCCATTTCATATCCTTACCAACACTCCTAAAGAAAATTTGTAGGAATTTATATTGACTATCAGTGAAGAGAAGCAGGGAGTTTGCTTTATAATAAATTTATCCTTTCACATTGAAGGTTGGCAAGAATTGTTACAATTTCCATTCCAAACAATGTTTATTGGATTCATGAATTGTATTTCCTGATGTTAAACTGGAAAGGCTTTGATCCACAATATATCTAGCAATCAAAGTTTTAATGTCTCTGGTCATTCTTCAAGTTGAAGCACTTTCATTTTTCTCTAGGTACAACACATCCCTTTTGTTTCTCCATTAAATCTCAGGGCCTTGCAATTAGGACACACTTCAGTCATTGTGCCGATGAGAATATCCTGGCTCAAACTATAATCCTCAGCTTGGTTGTATACGAAAGCAAAGTGATTGTAATTATGTTATTGCTTTGCCAAAAGTCATATCTGATGCTGATTCTCGTTGACAATTTTCAATCATACGCAGCCTACAATGTTCCTTTTGTTGAGAACAGAGCTGATCTGATGTTGACAAGTGGAATGCTGTGCTCAGAAGAGTACAACGTCAAGTCTAACTAAACGTTGCTCTGTTACTTCAGCGAGTATTTCTGTTAATCAGCGAGTATTTGAGACATTTTCTGTCTGGATTGCTCGTTCACTGATGCCTGTTCCTCTTTAGTTTGATGTGCAATTACTCCTCAAATTGCTTTTGCTAGGCGAGTATGATGACTTGGATTTCTTCATCGCGTTATTTTTACGTACTGAAGCCTATTGAATGCACCTTAAAAAAGGAAAGGGTAAAACAAAAACGCATGAAATTGTAAAACTTTTTTTTAAAAAAGGCAAAAACATGGATCAAAAGAAGGGGAAAAATAAAAATTAAAAGGCAAGCAAAATATATAACTTCAAACATAGATCAACCAACACAGCCCAATTCCAATGCAATGAGAAACAGAATATTTCATTCCATTCAAACAAATCACTCCAAAGTGGTCAATTTCACTTTAAAATTTAAAGTCCATTGATCATCAATTGATAGAGCTCAATTTACGTCAACTTCACTGAGAAATAAGAAAGGCTGTTAAAAAGCTAAATGATAAACAATGAAAAAAATATAAAATATACTTGCATAATATCAATTTTGCAATTAAAGACGCAGCTCAGTACCAATACAGTGTAGTACAAAATAATTAAGTTGACGGCTTGTGTTCAAAATGTCACCGAAAATTAAAAAAATTATAATTAATGACTCGAGTTACACTTTACAAGTAAATCAAATATGTGCATTGTTTGCAAGAAATTGGCTGCCTGCTTTCCTTCATCTCCAACAGTTTTAGGGTAGAGATATAAATCACATAGCTGAAGATATTTTTTGTTGAATTTGCAAGGACAATTTAAATATGAACATAGATTTCACAGCAGAAATCTACGACAAAGCCTTGGTAAAGATTGAACTTTTTTGCATTTCTAAGTAACACTGGCATTTGTAATCATTATCAACAATGTTCTGGGTCTACCTTTAAATTTGAGCAGATTAGGTATAGTCATGAATTTCCCCTCACATGGACAATTATTTGTTAGTGTGTTCAAGAGTATTCGATGGTGACAAGGATGAATTGAATGCACACTGCGGAATTACTACCGGGACAGAAATGTTCATTGTTTCTAAACCGCAAGATTTTCTTCAATGAAAAAAAATTCAATTAAATGCACAAAATTAATGTCCACTATTGAGACAATGTAAATAGTTTTTGGTTCAAAACATAAGGACAAAAACACAAACCGTTATAACTTCATGAGTATTCCGTTAACAATTAACAAATGAAATCTGTTACAAAGTATTGTTTTTATAAATAGTCATAAATAATTTTTTTTATAAAAAAGTCATACCTTTAAGTGCAAGCGATTAAATATATCAATAATGTATAATTTCTCATTCCTTTAGTTTTAAACCAGACTGAGCCACAGAAACGTGTGGCAGTGTGCAGCTCCTTCTTTTAAATAAAAAAAATCGTACCTTAAGGCTACACGGTACCCTTTTTCAAAAACATTTTTTGGAGACAGTTACAGTAAAAATAATTGATGTTTTATATTTAGATTATATTATTAAGCTGATTCTGTAAGCAAAACGTCAGTTTGACCCCAGCCATTATTTTACAATTTTAAAAAATTAGGAATTTTTGAAGTTTTTTTCAAACTTTTATAAAATACTCAATTTTAAAATATTTTAGTAATTTTAAGTTATTTATGATTCTTGGATTATTACAAACAATATTTAGTATGGATTTGAAAATCTATTCACTTGTTGATTTTTAATAATTTTTTTCTAGAAAAACATAGAAAAAACACGAAAATTTTTAAAATATCAACTTTAGCATTTTTTAGAAAAATAACTAGAGTTCTCAGCCTTAAATCCATTCTAACTGTTATAGAACATACATTTGGGAGTATATACAAAAAAATTCAAGGCTCTATCTTGAACAGAAAAAAAAAGCCTTAGGGATTTGAAAACACTTATACCTTCAAAATTAAAAGCCTGAGCAAAACGTATTTAAAGTTTGTAAAGTCATAAGACAAAAACTTACAATGCCCGTAAAACTCTAATTTTTTAATATGTTATTTTCCAATTTAAGTTCTACATTAAAACACTATTTTTATTAAATATGACTGAAAATTATATTTTTAATTCAAAATATATTTTTGCATAATATTGATAGCATTTGTTAAGACGTCAGTTTATTCAGCTTTATCTTAACCTAATATTTCACAAAAGTTTTGAAACACGAAGCATTTATTTACAAAATAATAATGATACTAAGTTAAGCTAAAAATATTCAGGTTTTCTCATAAAATTTAATTTTTTTCAGTTTTAAATTGGGGCAGTTTAGGAAGTTTTAGCTCTTGTCGTACGACTTTAAAATACTAAAATATAGTACTACAATATGTTTAATATAATGTAGTTTGCTACATCAAGAAAATATTCAGTTATATCTGCAGCATTTGAATTCGGAATACTTGTATTCGGAAGTCTAATTGCAGAATCAGCTCAGGACTAATTTTTAGATCCATCATTTTCAGTAGTGTTCCATCTCTTCAAAATATTGTTTCTCACAGAAACTCAGAACGCATTTGCCATGGCATTTTCTCTACAGGAAAAAAATAATGATAAAGCTTTTAAGTTATATAAACTATTTTTAAAGCAAAAATTAATCATGAAATTAATCTTTATTAATTAATTATGAGAACTCAAAAAACTTAAAACATAATCAAGCAGAAATGATTTTAGTAATGAAATTTGGAATTAATAACTATTTCAAACTAAAAACTCAAAAATATTTTTAATTAATTTAACTTAAGTATAAAAAAATGATTTAAAAGGAAACCGAAACCAAAACCATAGCTCATAAAACTTCAAATATCTTAAAAACTAATTTGCTAACAGATCTGAAATTTCTTGGCAAGTAT